TACTTACAAAATTGTAAAAAGAAAATGTTTAAAAGAAAAATACACAATATTAATAACAAAAAGATTAACTTTCAACATGAAAAAAAAAGGTTATAAAAACAATTTTAAAATTTTTTTTCGCCACCCTATTTTTTAGAAGGATATTTAAGAACTTTTTTAGATTAATGAACATATATTTAAATAATCAAAAACATGCAATTACAAACGCAATATAATTAAAAAACATAATAATTTATTGATAGACTATAAAAGACAATTTAAAAACTTTCAACTTACATTCAATTAGAGTTTAAAAAGAATGAAGTATTTGTTGTGAAAATCGTTGCATAATAAAACTATTTTTTTCTTTCTCGACGATAATACAGAAAGTTGCCAAAAATACAACCATCGCAAGTTACAAAAATGCATGGCTACAAATAATTTAAAATTGTTTTAAATTATTTCTGATCAAAATATGATTATTATAGTTGTTCATCAAAAAAAAAAAAAAAAAAAAAAAAAATTCTCTCTCACATTCTGCAATATGATGCAGGCTACGATATAAACCCGGTTATACTCAAATTACTATTATCCATTCAATAATAAAAATAATAAATACCTGTTTACTTTTTGAAAGCATAAAATCCTTCTTTCACAAATTTATCGACACAGCCATACGTAGGACAATATTTCACCTTATTTAGTGTGAAACACAAGCGAATGAGTCTTGCACGATGAGTCAAAAAATGAGTCTCCAAAATACATGAAAATTTCAGTTTAGCTCAAGAGGGCAGATTGCAATATTTAATTCAACCTGCTGAAGAAAGTACCAAATCTCTAGAATATAGCTTTCCGTTAAATGGTCTAAATTATCCAAATGTAATTGTATCGTTAAAAGACTGATTCGGTCAAATGATGGTAGATGTTTATAGTAAGATAGATGGAAGATGTTAAGTAATTTACAAAATCAAGAAAATTCTATTTATGTTATTGAAGTGCTTGAAAATGACGTAAATGCTTTAGATGGTGAAGTAAACAAATTAACTAATGATATTCTTTGTTCTTATCTAGAGAAAGAATTTGATAAATACGAACAGGAAATGCATGAACATTTTTCTAAATTAGATTCCTTAAAAATTACGTTAAAAGATGAATAATAATATTTATAATGCATATGAAAGTAAAGTTAATACTAATGTAAATAGTTTAAAACTCCCTCGTGTAGAATTACCAGTGTTTACTTCTAATTATATTGACTGGATCTCATTTCGTTATTTCCTGCCAGTGTAGGAAATAATGAATCTTTGTGTGATAGTCAGAAATTACAATATCTTAAACTTTCTGTGAAAGGCGAAGCAGCTACTTTATTGCAATCAATTCAAATTTCAAATGAGAATTTCGAAAGAGCTTGGAATGCACTCACTAAGCTTCATGAAAACGAAACAGAAATAATAAATGCAGCATTAAATAAATTAGTTTCACAGCCTGTATTAAAGCATGAATCAGCATCAGGTATACGAAAATTAATTGATACAATACAACAATGCATTGACACATTAAAAATCCTTAAACAGCTTGTGGAGCACTGGTATACTATGATTATTTTTCTATTAAAGGGGAAACTTGTTCAAAAGTCCATACTTGAAGGATTTCGGAATCACGTTTCCCTTTTAGCAACAAAGGCGATCAAATCCCACACCTTCTTAAAAGATCGAGGCAACAGGGGCTAATAATAAGGAGGGTATGTCTGTGTGCATCAACATCGCAGGCAGAGAGCCTCTTCTCCTGGACTTGACTCTCGCAACAGGTCGCTGCCTAGGGATTCGTATCTCGGTACCTTATTTCTTCCAGAACTTATGGACTCTCACGAGGACAGCTTTTTACTCTATTACACAGGCCATTAGTTCAACTACATCATGGTTATGATCTCGATTGTTCTTCTCCTCTCATCATCGTCCGTCTTCATCTCATCCACACTTTTTTATGCACTTCAGATCATCAGCCCTTTTTTATTATTTTTGATAGGAGTGTAAGATAAAAGGCTGATTAGTTTACACCACACACATTTAAGGTATTTTCAAATACAAATGGACATGACACGACAATGTAGTAGCAAGTGTTGATTAGGAAAATAATTTTGAAAAATTCATAGAAAACGGTAAAACCATTATGTCAGAAGAGAAATTTAAGGAATTGATAGTAAGTATGCAGGAGAATGATATGTCTTTTCATCAAAAGTATTGGGAATATCTTGGAATCAAAAAGATGACAGACTTTTTAAAAAATTAGATTGGATAAAACATTTCCAGCTGAGTGACATCACTAAAAGATCAATTTTGTCAGCAACGCATAAGATTTTCCTATTCTACTTTGTCATTCCCAAAGTTGTTGCCCCCAAAAAAAAAAAAATATGCAAGCAAGAAATCTCTTGATATTGAAAAGTTGATACTGACATTGAAAATAAATTCGTAGGTTGGTTTAAAAGCTTCCTCTATTGAAAAAGTTCTGTATATCATGTTGGTCATACATTTATTTCCCTGATCATGCATATCCTGCTTATTAGAGTGGAAAAGGAGCAAAAAACACAAATTAATCTTTTAGAAGCAAGATATCGAGTTACTTCATCTAAATATGTTTCTATACCAAGCTTAGAGTTGATTTCAACACTCAATGAAGTACGATCGTGAGTTTCTGTAGTATAAGTACTCATTCTGATTAAAGAAACATAAGCCTTAATTTCTGAACAGATTCCTCAACAGTCTTTCTTACAAACACATCGAAGAAGTATGGTCGATATTCGTAAGCAATCGCGTCATAGAATTCAGGAATCTGACAGCACCTGAATGTTGGCGATATCTGCCTGGTATATTTAACCGTCTGATCTGTCACCTAGGGGCTGCTGTGTTCAACAACTGATGTTTAGGTAGTGGGAGGATCCTTCTTGGCCGAAAGATAATCAAGTTAATTGGCCTTCCAGAAAATCGACTTATGATTTGAAAGCTGTATTCAAAGAAAGAAGGAGAACCAACATTACTTTAACCACATGTTTTCGAATCAGAGATTCGTATATAACTGTTATAATTCCTTCGTAGTAGACAATAACCATTGGGAATGTCATGAAAGGAAATGGTGCTACAGGCACTCTTCATGATGTAACGAATAAGTTCGAATGGTTACCTGGGTGAGAAGATTCATTTTTTATTGTAAAATTATTCATCATTCAGTCGTTGAGACACTCATGATGACAGAACTGAAGAAAAATGTTCATGATGATGCTTAAATTTTGTTAAATATCTTAAGAGAACGTTATTAGATAACCAATGGCAGGAAAATAAGTCGACGAGTTAAATTATTCAGCTATGTTCGAAGTCCTATGAATAGACTTGGCTGCCCCATTGTTTGTAAAAGGGGAAATTAAAACATGGTTGGTAGTGTATGCTGTCTACTGAGCTGTCAATTTAGAACAATGACAAATATACCCACTGAATCGTTTTTTCAACAGAATCATTTCTAGAAAGAAAAAACACAATATGAATTTTGTTGCTGCCTCTAATGCCCTAGACGCTATTGATAGAAATGAAATTCTTTTACGCAGCATTCTGAAGAGAATATAATGACCTTGGTGCGGTAGTGGGATAAATTAGTCGGCATCGTAAATCAGATACTTCGAAAAGAAAGAGAAAATGTATTCCCTCTGAAGAAATGGCTAACTATTCTAAATTATTGGGATAAATTCTAAGAATCCTCCTTTTGAAAATATCTTTTAGTTGAGCAGAAGTAATTGAAAAATCAGAGCAATTCCCTTCCGCAGTCTAGTTAACTAAAGAGACAGAGAGTCTTACAAGAAGGGTATTTTGAAGATTCTAAGAAGATTCCCCCTCAATGCCATTACTCATCTTGCAAAAATCTACAACAGCTGTACTAAATTTCACTACTGCCCTCCTATCTGAAAAAAGCAAATATCATCATGTTTCCTAAACCTGGCCAGGACAGCAAATTTCCTCAAAATTATAGTCCCATCAGTCTCCTTAGCTGTGTTGGAAAACTTTATGAAAAACTCTTATTGAAACATATTACTTCTTTCTGCGATAAAAATTCCATAATTCCAGCAGAACAATTTGGTTTCAGTCAACAACACTCAACTTGTCATCAACTTCTACGCGTCACCGATATCATCACTGAAGGATTTAACTATAAAATTTTCACGGGAGGTTGTCTTCCTAGATGTCAAAAAAGCTTTCGATCGATTGTGGCACGATAGTCTGATCTACAAAAGGATCAAATTTTGATTTCCAACTTGGATCACACTTATCATTACAAGTTATCTTAAAAATAGAACTTTTCAAGTTCAACTTCAAAATGAATTCTCCACAATTGGTCGTATTCGGGCAGATACACCTCAAGGAAGCGTGCTCAGTCCTATCGTCTACAATATCTTTACCTACGACTTTCCTCAATGCACTAACATTTCCGCTTGCCTATTTGCTGACGATTCTACTGCTCTTGCCCAAGGTGCTTCTATTTTTTTATGTCATCAAAATTTTCTGAATACTCTAGAGCAGGAATGGGTAAACTACGGCCCGCGGGCCAACTCCGGAAGGTTCTACTACGGCCCGCGGGACAACCGGAAGGTTCTATCCGGCCCGCGGATAGAATTTTAATTTGCCTGTCTGAGGCAAATTAAAAGAAATATATATTTATATATTATACATCTATCTCCTTTTCTACTTTGATTAAATAATATGTTTTCATTAAAAAAATTATTATTATTATCTCATTTCAAGAGGTTAAATTCAATATCCTCTGTAAATGAAGAGAAGCTTAAGAATCATGAAGATAGCTCGAAAAAACTGCATTTTGAGTTCGAACGCAGATTTCAAGATTTCAGTGCCATTCAAACAGAATTGGATATTTTTACCATGCCTTTCAACGTAAATTGTGAAGCAGTGAGGACAGATTTGCAGGTTGGATTAATTGAGTTGCAATCTAACAATCAACTCAAGCAGTTGTTTCTAACAGCCAACGGCTATACCATGCTGAATATACCGGTTCTCGTTAGATCACCGAAGTCAAATGGGGTGTGACCACCTGGTGGGTGACCACCTGGGAACACCGCGTGCCGTTGGAATTCACAAATTTGGGACCTGAACGGCCGAGTGTCTAGCGCTCTGGCGCTCGTTGCCACAGGTTTCGGGTTCGTATCTCGGTGATGCCATGGATGTTTGTAGTGGTTCGGAATCCACTTTAAGCCGTAGGTCCCGGTCTCCTATGACTGTAAGAGCGTCACGGAGCCAAAGTCAGACTTCTACCTACGGGGTGCTCCATCACAACAGAAGCTACTTCCTTCCCCTTCAATCATGAGTACGTATGGGCTCGTGGGCTTGGCCAGCCAAGTGGGATAAGAAACAACAACAACAACAGTTGTTTCTAAATATACCAAAATTAGGGTTTTACAAATCATTATCGAAAGTAAGTTTCCCAAATTTAATATCTCACGGCCAGAAAATCAGTGCTATGTTTGCTTCATCTTTTATATGTGAACAAGTGTTTTCAACTATGAACCTTAGAAAGAATTATTTCAGAAGTAGACTGACAGATGAACATTTGGCCTCGTTCCGTAGAATCAGTACATCTCACTTCGAACCTCAATATAAGGAACTTTTATAAATGAAATCGCAATTTCATTCATCTCATTAACTGTAAATTGTAAATTAAATTAAATTGTAATACTTGTATATTGTTTTTAAAATTTTAGAAAAATTTATCTTGGCCCATCAAACTTTTTTTTTCTTTTCGATTTTTGGCTCGCGACCGAAAAGGTTTGCCCATCCCTGCTCTAGAAGATTGGCTAACTAAATGGCGCATAGAAATTAATGTCTCGAAATCACCAGCCATCATTTTCCGAAAAGGACACGCCAGACAACGATATATTAATCTCTCCTTTTTTGATCAACAAGTTGAATGGGCAGATAATATTAAATATCTGAGTTTAGACAACTTATAGACAATAAACTTACGTTTCGACCTCATATTAAAAAAATAAAAGAAAAATGATGGGAAAAATTTTATCTCACTCTGCCGTTCATCAATAAATTTTCTAAATTAACTTTGTCAAACAAAATTCTTCTCTACAAACAAGTTCTTAGGCTTATCCTTACCTACGCTGCCCCAATCTGGGATCTAGCTGCAAAATCTAACAAAAAATCTGTTAAAATTATTCAAAACAAACTTCTTCGTATCATCACTGGTGCACCCTGGTTTGTCCGGAACTCTACAATTCATCAAGATTAAAAAATTGATTCTATTGACAACTATATTACAAAACATTCTAGAGATTTCTTCAATACTATTGCTACACACGAAAACCCTCTCATCAAGGTACAAACTATATTTACGCAATTGAATGGAAAATGCAAGTATCCTTATACTACTTCTAAATGAAATCGAAGCCTCAAATCACCATAATTTCCAGTTCACTTTTTTTTTTCTACTTGAGTTTAATAACATCCAATATCAATTCGCTTTCATTTCCACTTTTTATTCCAATGGTTTATTCCCCTTTCCTCACCCATCGCGTTTTAGATATTTTACTTCAATACATATTCTTTTCTGTTCTGTAAGATTTATTTCCTAAACAAACTAACAGTAACAGTTCGCTCTTCTCCAATATACTTTGACCTTGGCTGCTTAACGAGCCTTTTGATCATTATAATTTATTTCACTCTACCCCAATTTGTTTCTTGTTTTTTTTCTCCCTACTAGCCTTAACTCTCGTTTTGAGTTCTTCGGTCATTGCAGTTGATTTTATTCTTTTATATACACTCCTTTGTGTGAATTATATTTTTTTGCTTTTTACTCCATCGTTCTGCGCTCTTTACTGATCATAAATTTCATGTTACATTTTCTCACCAATATTTTTTCATTTTCTTTCTTTTTTTTCTTCTCAATTCATACGATTGCCATTATCTATTCATCGTGACTTTTCTTTCCTACTTCCATCACATTTCATTGAGTAGATGAACGCTTCGCGTTCAGGCACTCCACCTCTTTATTCAACTTAGTAATTGTAACTCAACTCAACTGTATGGAGCTAGACTGCAACTCAATTTAACAAAGACAAGTTTCGATTCGCAAACAAATATTCCTATTATGTTATGTCTTACGACCGATTTGCAAGACACTTGTAATATTTGTGTAAATAAACATAGCTAAAAGTTCTTTTTACCTCTCTTTCTATTGTCAATAAACAATAAGTTTTATATTTGGAATCTTAAGAAAGATTAAATTTAGAGAAAATAATTGTGTAATTTATAATCTGATATAGTTACAGGGATTAAAATAAGAAAAGTAAAAAATCTTAATTCAGATAAAGGATAATATTGAAAACTTCTGCTATTTCTAAAATTTAAATATAATAACTTTTGCTTGTTTTCATTAATCCTTTTTCTAAATATGTACATCTTAAGAAAAGTTTCTTTGCGTTTTAGTTTTAATTGCGAGAAAAATATAAATCATTATAACACCTTTCTTTAACAGTATTTTGTTCTTTTTCAGAGAAGAAAATGTTCTTAAGTTATACACAAACATTCTCTGTCTAAGATTTCTTTTATTTTACCTATCGTATCTTTAAATCGAAGGGTGGTCTCTTAATAAAAATGAAAGGTGAATTTTTATTATTTGTTTTTTAGCGAATAATGAATAACCTCTGTCAATTCTAATTATTGTGTTTAACTACAAATTTCATTGTCTTAGCTTCTCTTGTGTTGAGATGATCTCAGGCTGCCACAAATTATCTACTAATGTAGTTCTAGTGAGACTTAAATTCAATCAATTTCAATCCTATTTTATAAATGAATTGATCTATACATTTATATTAAACTATATAAGAACTGTAAATTATTATTACGAAAAAATATCATTAGTCATGAAGAAATTAAACACGGTGATGCCTTTCTATCGAGAGTAGTTTTTTTTCCCAATATTCTCAAAGAACAGAAGCAGTAATAGATGGGGCTACTAGGGTAAATCATGTCCGACTTGCCTGATCGGATCCTCTTTAACATCGAAATGGCGACTGTGAAATGTTACTTAATTTCTCTGTTTTATTAAAATGCGTCGCTGATGAAACATTTGTAAACTTTGTGTTATATAAGCAAAAATATTCAAAGTTTTTTAATAATCGAAGGAATTATAGCGTTACGACAGATCAATGTAAGGCGTATGAAGTAAGTAAATATTGTTTGTTGTTCAGTTTTTAGTTGTTTATGTATAAAAACAAATGACTGTATCACGTTCTCTGTATCTATTCTTCATTTTTTTTTATCCCAATTACTTAGTTTTTCGAATGAAAAGCTTTTCTTTCTTTACAGTTTTATGTATCAAACAGCAACAAAACAAACATTCAATGTGTAGATTTGTAGCAATAGAAAGGTTTTCCCCTTTCTCTTTCTAGTAATTAAAATTTTTCTGACAATCGATAAGAAGTTCTTACAGTTCATCTTGAATAACAATTTTATTAGAAAATTAGTTTTGAGTATAAAATATTTTTAACTTTTTTTCTATGAGTCACTTTTTTTTTTTTCCCCCACACAATGTGAAATTTTAATTATTTATTCGGCTGCTCAAATACTTTTTACTCTTGTCAAAAGAGAAAAATTTATGTTGCATTTGCAATTATTGGAAAGTAAATTATTTATATGTAATTCATTTTTGATTTTGTTGACTTACAACTCAAATATTTACTTGAATAATGGACGTGTGGTTGCTGTTGTATGTGTATCATGAACATTTTAATTAAACGTTACAATAACTGATTTACTGATAATTTTTATGATATGTATTTTTCCGAAGAATTATTATTTTTGTTTGTTTGATTTATAATATAGTAATTTATACTTAAGATATAACTACACTTAGAAGAACATTAAAAAAATTGTATGTGCAAACATTTTTTGAAATATTCAAAGAATTTGGGGATTATTATTACTTTTTTAATTCCTCAATTATGTGTGTTAAAAAAGAGTTTCAAAAATTTTTTTATACGGAATTCTTTGATAGAAATGCTATTCTCCATCATGGATTGAAGGAAATTTTTTTTCAAAGTTTAAGAAGAAGAAATCTTAATATAAAAAAATATTTAATGTAACTATTATTAACTGACTTCATGATTTTTTCCCCATGATATTTGTTAAAACATGATGTATATATTAAGTATAATGTTTATACATAAATTGATTTGATTAAAAAAAAAAAAAAAGGTAATTAGGAATGTGCTCATTTCTAACTTGTATTTTCTTTTATATTTGAAATATATTTTTCTAAAAAACATTTCGTAATATCTGAGGAAGGAGGGGAAATAATTATTTTCTACTCTAAGAAAATTGATTAATATTTCTTTTATGCTACAAAATTTTATATTTTTTAACATATCAAATTTCACTTATTTAATTCGAAATTTATGCTTGTCATTAGGCTGCTGCTATTTTATCCAGTTGTGGTTTGGGAGAAAATTTTTCTCAGAAAGAGGTTGCTTCATTGTTTTTGAAGTTGCTTTTTTATGCTAAATCTTGGGTCTCAATTTGATTTTATACTTATAGGCAATACATTACTAGTTTCAACAAAATCCTACATCGAACACTGTAAATAAAAGTAAATGTTTTGTTTAATAAATAATTTTGGTTTGTTAAAAGAGTTGTGCTCCTACAATTATTTTAAGAGTATAAATATAGCATTAAAAAAAAAAACACTCTATGTCTCAATATAATTACATAAAATTTATTCATTTCTTGGTTGTGTTGATATGAAATCCCAAGTAATGATAAATAAAAGAATATTGCATATTAACATATGGATTAGTAAAATAATGTTTATGTAGTCTTGTTTTTCATTTGCTTTGGCCCAGATTTTATTTTATTTGATATAATCAATATGACATGGTCTTTTTATTATGTGGTGAAAATGAATGATTATATAATGTCTGATTGAAATTAAATTTATATTAAAAAGATCCTGCTCTAAGAGATTTGAATATAGGAAATAAATACCTTTAATATATGAAATATTGATTAAAGCTTTCAATAACTGTTTTTGAAACATTTTTGTAGTTCCTGACTAAAAAAAAGTA